TCTTTCTTTCTTTCTTTCTTTCTTTCTTTCTTTCTTTCTTTCTTTCTCTTCTTTTCTTTTCTTTTCTTTTCTTTTCTTTTCTTTCTTTTCTTTTCTTTTCTTTTCTTTTCTTTCTACTTCAACCCATATTAGAAAATGTATGTTTCTGTTGTGAGTCCAATGGTGTGCTGGAGCCAACCCATTCAGGCCTATGAGAGCAGAGTGTTAAGTTTTCAGGACTTTTGCAAGCTGATTGTTAAACACAACCATTATTTAAAATTACATTATAGGCACGCCTGGGTGGCTCAGTCGGTTAAGCGTCTGCCTTGGGCGCAGGTCATGATCCTGGGGTCCCAGGATCGAGTACGGCATCGGGCTTCCTGCTCAGTGGTGAGTCTGCTTCTCCCTCTGACCCTCCCCTCTCTTGTGCTTTCTCTCTCTCACCCTTTCTTTCTCTAATAAATGAATAAAATCTTTAGAAAAAAAATAAAATTGCATTATATAAACTAACAATTAAACTCAACATAAATATTCAGAACTCATTATTTCCTAATTATTTTACTCTATGTCCTTATTTACCTATGCTCTTGGGATTACTTAACATCCATTGTATCTGCATGGTAAGTTACAGTGCAGTTTTCCCAACTGTGCGTTCAGCGACATCACACTGATAGTGTGAAACCAGCCATGATGGAAGTCTTTACACTGGTGAAACTGGCTATTACTATAAATCAGGGCTTTATCTGGTTTGTGGATCGTCTAGATTGAGATGTGACTCCATTTGTCAAGTATGGTTGAACTGAAACTGTAAGTTGTTTATAGATACAAGAGTCCAGCAAAAATCAGTGAAAGCATTCTGTGAGAATCAATTTACTATCTGAAATTTACAGTAAAGAATATTTGTGCATTTTATTATTTGTAAAAATCTGTGCTACACACTTTATATTAAGAAAACCTTATGATAAACCTATGCACATATATACTTATACATTTTCTTAAAGAGCTCGTTGTTAAACATTTATTGATAAATCGCTGGCTGTAATCCAATACACACATAAAAATACATCTGTAGCATATGAGTGAATATATAGATACAGTTGTAAATATAGCTTTAGGATGGTTCGTGACAGAATTTGCCTCTGCTATGCATGAGACGTTCTGATACTTTCTGTTTAGTTATAAATTCAATTTTTAGAAATGCTGGTCATGACCCACTGAACTGATTTTACAACTCACGAATGGGTGGGGATCCGTAGTTTGAAAAACACACGAGATTTTAAGGCACTGGAGGACCATGCCCTGCCCTTCCCCACCAGGGGGTGATGGAAGACCATGAATACCAGGGTTCTGCCCCACCGGAACCTTCCATGGTACAACCTAATTGCTAGTTTCTTTCCTTCTT